TTTAAGGGGTCAGACCCCCCCCCCCCTCCTGAAGTAAATTTTCAGTTAAATACTAGGAAAGTCCAGAGGTCTTCCAATGTAGAGTAATGTTTATTTACTTCTATGTAATTATCTGTGTGGGATGGTAGAACACCAAAATGGCCAATATTAAATAATAGTAATGAAATCATTTTAATGAATCAATTCATTAAAATACATAAATTAACTAATATGTAGGCTCATTTTGGGGTAATATTACTTTTAAGTTTGCATTATTTTACTACTTTATTTACATGATCATTTGTTTCATTGTTTGATAAAATGCTGGTTTAATATTGGCCATTGTGGAGCGCCATATGGGACTGGCTGGCTCAATGTCGTAGTGCTACAGTGAGACAGATAGAATAGTGTAGAGTTGTCAGTGTACAAGCTCTGCTGTGGTTGCATCTATCTAACGTTGAAGATACCGAGAAAGAGACCAATGATGTGACAGACGAAGAGTTAACAACAGTGCTTTAGAGATTGAGGAGAAAAACCTATAATTAAACTGCAAACAAATATTTAAATGACTCAGCTTTAACAGTATTGTGTTTGTTATTAGAAAGTCCCATTTCTGAAAGAGGATTGTCTGCAGACCTCCCAGTTAAACCACTGAGGTCGACCAGCTAAAGGGAAATCAAGGCAAAATTGACTTTTAGGTTCCTCAACACAACACATTTTCCAAAGAGGTCAGTCAGTTATACAGTACCACAGAACACGCTCTACTACTCATATCACTATTTAGTATCACCGTTTAGTTTGACATGCCGGGAGATTTTTATTTGCTAACCTGAAGGTCAGTTTTGTTGGAATTCTCCTGTTTAATTATCTTGCCGTAAAAAAAAAAAAAGGTGTGTGACCAAAGGCCTATCTGTGTCAGAGAACATCATTACAGCTGTTTGCTTTTGTTTTTGATCATCGTTTTTCTTTCAGAACTAAAGGGGAGTGTTTGCCTTTTCGATGATTCACTAATTGAGTAAATAAACTACAACTGAGAAGAGTTTGAGAATGTCTTGAAACAAATGTTGTCCTGTCCCCTTTTTATTGCATCATTTAAAAACAGTTGGTACATGGGGTAATGGGAAAGAAAAGCAAAATTGTCATTTTTAACGCACGATTTAAAAAAAAAAACCTTATCCAGGAAGCAGTCGGTATCAATCAGAACGACAGGTTAAAAACAGATTCATACTCATGATCAGTATTTAAATACAGATGAATATTTATTTCTTCAAATGCATGAAGAGGACAACTTGTTGAAACACTATTGTTAAACTAATACTATAAGTTGTATGCATGATGCTAGATTATGTTGCAATACAGAACAGTTGTGAAAGTTCAGTCGTACGTTTTTTTTTTTTGTTAAAGGTGCAAGGACACACGGCAGGTAACAACACAAGACATGATGCTTATTGGCTTGTTGGTCCTCTTTTTGTATTAAAGTCACTGCCTGCGATTAAACAGAGCAGAAAACATGAGAGAAATGTAGTTTTTCTTCCTTTTTTAGACTTCGCATCATTCATTTAAGGGTTTTGTGGCTTACTTTATTGAATGTACCGCCACATTTTGACACTGAATAAGAGAACTTAACAAAACCTGAGATAATTATACTTTAATTAAGCTTGGAAATGGCAAAAACAGGGAATTTTGGCCCAAGAACAGCTTTGTGTAACTTCAGTCTACAAGTATCAATATGGTTTTTTTTCACATTGGTCCACACTAAATATTCAGTGCCAAAATGTAAAATTAAGTATCCAAAGTGCTTTTTTAACCACCCACACCCCTTCAAATACTCCCAATATCCTCCCACAAAATACATTAAGGCATTCTGTCTTCTTCTCTGTGCTTCTCGGTATCTTTTATTTACACAAACATTTTACAAAGGTCGCTGAGGTCAAGGTTCAGGTGCGAGACTGCAGTGCCAGCCTCTGGACCGTGTCTGTCAGGTGAGTCATGTCGTGCTGCTGAGCCTGGTGTTTGATGTACTCCAGAGTCCGAACCTGGCAGCGAGACACGACACAGGAAGTCACTGAGGCTGCACACGAAGCGCGTTAAAGAACGTAATCTGAACTGAGGACAGCAAACATTTTAGGAAATTATGGGTAGAGAGCAGGGTGAATGTGTGTGAACTCACTGAGATACGGGTCTCGCAGTATCCGTGTTTGTGGCTGAGGTTCCACAGGTTGACGGCCAGCTGGCTCAGCTTGTTGTTCCTCAGGTCACCGTGGGCCAGCAGGACACCGAACAGGGAAAAGGCCAGAGCGCCTTGACGCCTTGTGCTCTGCTGCAAAGGAGGCAAGAAGAACGATGTACTGATGTACACTGACACCTTGACAACATACAGTTGAGTCACGTTTAGCTTGTGAGGAAACTGCAGTGCGGCTTTAGCAAATAAAAAAGCCACAAGAGGAGAAAACACTGCAGTCTTGCTGGCGGCAGTGAGCCGGTTTCTGCCTCACCTCGTCCCGTCCGAGTGCCTTCAGGTGGTCCAGGATCTGTCCGATCAGGGTCTCGCACAGCTTGTTGATCTCTGATAGAAACTTGGGGTCTCCTCCATAAAGTGTCTCATTGGAGTCCACTGGGATCAGAAAAAAAATAAAAATACTCACATAAATTCTCCCTCTATTCCTCCCTCGTTCCCTCTATGAACCACTACAACTTGTAAAAAGATAAAAAGAGCCTCTTCATGCAACGCTTGGTAATCTAGATGTATACAGAAACTAACCCTGGGGTAATCATGAAAAAGATTAAGGAGTTCTATTATCTCAATTTTGACAAAATCATGGATTTTGTGTTGCAAAAATAAGAGCTCACCTGGATTTGTCTTCAAGAAAGAACTAAAACAAACGTCCAGTAATTTGGATTTCAGTGTATCGCGTGTGTGTGTGTGTGTG